CCACTGGCCCCCGCGCACGTCAATCACCGCCATGCCACGCCCACTCCTAGCAACGCCCCCCATCCCCATCCCGCCGGTCCCCCCAACCCGGGATGGACCCGGCGCTGACCGGGACACCGTGGGGACAACGGCGCGGGCGGGAAGGGAGATAGGAGGGTGGGTAACACAGGGCTGGGGACGTGGGGCTGGGAGCGAGGTGTGGGTCGGAACGGGGGCGCGGGACAGGCTGGGGACAGGGACATGAGGCTGGGGACAAGGGTATACGCTGGGAACAGATGTATGGGGCTGAGGGATGGGGATTTGGGACTGTGAACAGGGATATAGGCTGGGGACAGGGACATGGGGCTGGGGACAAGGATATAGGCTGGGAACAGAAATACAGGGCTGAGGCAGAAGGACTTGGGGCTGTGGAGAGGGACATAGGCTGAGGACTGCAGACAGGGATACAGGCTGATGACAGGGACAATGACAGGGGTCAGGACATGGGGCTGCAGGCAGGGATATAGGCTGGCAGAGAGAGACATGGGGTTGGAACCGAGAAATGGGCTGGGAATGGGGTTACAGGGCACAGGGGCATGGGCCAGGGAGGCCCAGGACAGGCCCACACCCAGAGGGGTGGTGGAGAGGGGCATAGGGCTGAGGGCATGCACTGGGGCTGGGGGAGACAGGGGTACCTGTAGGGGCTGTTTAAGGGGGTCCAATGTTTTTCTAACAATAGTTGTCATCTTCTTATAGCAAATTATAACATTTATCTTACAGAGGAGGTGTTCCAGAGGGGGGGTCAGGGCACCACATGCTAGGATGAGGGCATCCTGACTGGAAACGATCTTATCACACTTCCCCAAACTCCCATGACATCATCCCCAGACTGCCCTGACATCACCACCCTCCTTGGCCAGGATGGAGGCAGCAGGTTACTCATGGGAATGCTCCTCTCCCATCAGAACATCCTCCAGGAGCTGCCCTTTCACCTCACACAAAACATTCAGGGCTGTCTTGTGGTCCCACAATCCACACCCCACGGGCACAAAGCACCAGGGCCAGGGCAGCCATGGAGAGCCAGGAGGTTGACCCGCAGTGATCCCTCTGCTCTCCTGGAGGCGAGCGGGAAGCACAATGCCCGTGCCCTGCCTGTGTTCCGGTGGGTTCCACTTCCAATGGCTCCCCAATGCTGGTCCTGGTCCAGCCGTGTCCCATCGTTCCCCCCACACGACTCCATCCTGTTCCCGTCCTGGTCCCACCACTCCCCCCGCCCTGTCCCCGTCCCGTTCTAGACCCGATCCCGTCCCGTTCCCATCTCGATCCTGTCCCCTTCCCGTCACGGTCCCACCGCATCCCCCGTCCCGTTCCCATCCCGGTCCTGTCCCATTCTTATCCCTCTTCCCCCGTCCCGTTCCCGCCCCGGTCCTGTCCCGTTCCCATCCCGGTCTTGTCCCGTTCCCATCCTGGTCCTGTCCCATTCCTGTCCCTCTATCCCCGGCCCGTTCCCATCCCGATCCTGTCCTATTCCCATCTCGGTCCCGTCCCGTTCTCACCCCGGTCCCGTCCCGTTCCCGTCACGGTCTCACCGCTCCCTCCGTCCTGTTCCAGTCCTGGTCCTGTCCCGTTCCCGTCCCTGTCTCACCGCTCTACCCGTCCCGTTCCCAAACCAGTCCTGTCCCGTTCCCATCCTGGTTTTGTCCCGTTGTCATCTCGGTCCTGTCCCATTCCTGTTCCTCTTCCCCCGTCCCGTTCCCATCCTGGTCCTGTCCCGTTCCCATCTCAGTTTTGTCCCGTTGTCATCTCGGTCCTGTCCCATTCCCGTCCCTCTCCCCCCGTCTCGTTCCCATCCTGGTCCTATCCTGTTCCCATCTCGGTCTTGTCCCATTCCCATCCTGGTCCTGTCCCGCTCCCATCCCAGTCCCATCCCATTCCAGTCCCTCTCCCCTCGCCCGTGGCGCGTTTCCTCCTCCCGGCCGCCAGGAGGCGCTCCCGCGCCGCGCCACCGTGCCGCGGGCGGCGCTCTGGCCCCACTTCGTTGCCGGGAGCTGATTGGTGCGTGGCGGCGGTGACGCCATTCCCGGTGGCCGCGCTGTGCTTGCGGGACCTTCGGGACCCCCGGCCCCGCTCCTCTCCCGAGCCATGGAGTTCCCCGCCGTTCTCTTCCCCTCCTACTTCGGCGCCGGCCCGCCGCGGGAAGAGGGCGGCCCGGCGCCGGCCGCTGGCTGGGGCGAGCACGGCCAGGTGCTGGAGGGCAGCCCCGGACCCAGCCGCCGCCAGGTGAGGTCCTGCGCGGGCCGCGGGGGTCCGGCGCGATCGAGGGAGCCCGGCGGGACGCGCGGGGGCCGTTCTGACTCTCCTCGTTCTTTCCCCCTCCCGCAGGCGCAGCCGGCGTTCGTGCCCCGCCGAGGCGGGAAGGGCGAAACTTGGAACCCCGCCGAGGCCGCGGCCATGCCGGTGCTGCCGCCCAGCGCCGGTGAGAGCCGCGGGAGCAGCGGGGGATGCTGCGCGGCGGCCCTTCGGGGCACATCCCGTCCCGCCTCCACCCCTGCCCGGGGGTGCTGAGCGCTGTCCCGGTGCTCGTGTCCCGGTGCCAGGCAGCCCCTGCCCTCTCCCCACAGGCCGCTGGATCCCGTCGCCCACTCCTCAGGACATCCTGTACCGCAACAGTGTGTGCAGGAAGCTCCGGGCAGGCAGGTCTGGAGCCACCCTGGACTTCGCCAAGCAGGTGGGACTGGGGGCGCCGTGTCCTGCCATGGACCTTGGAAGGGAGTGTGGGATCTCTGCACATCCCAACTTATCCCTGTCCTTCCTGCACAGCTGGGCCATTTCTTTGTGGATCATCCAGAGGATGCGTTTGGCTCCATGGGGCGCCTGCTGCACAAGAACTTCTACCTGGGCAACTCCAGCCTGAAGGTCAGTGTCAGTCCCAGGGGGAACAGTGCTGTCGCCCACCATTCCTCCTGCAGCCCTAACCTCTGCCCGCTCCTCCCTGCAGAGGCCGGCCCGGAGCAGCACCATCCGGATGACGGCCCTGATGGAGGACATTGACCGCCTGGAGGCCCGGCGGTGAGTGTGTCCCCATGTCCCCTGCCCTGCACAGCTCTGGGGAGGGTTCCTCTGTCCCCTCACCTGATGCTGTCTGTGCCTTGCAGCGGCTGCCACCGGCAGCACTTGGCCTCCCGCCTGCGCTGGTTCTCCCACCTGTGCCGTGACTGGCTCTTTGAGGTGCCGCTGGGGCTGCTGGCGGACTGCCTGCATGAGGAGCTGCTGCTGCAGTGGTCTGACCTGCTCTTTGATGACAGCCTCACGGGGGGGGCACTGGCCTGGCTGCCCCCCGGCGACACAGGGTCATGTACGGGCCGCCTGGTGTACCCCGGAGGGCAGGCCATGAACCACCTCTGTATCCTTTCCATGGGGTGTCCCTGGGGAGGGGAGGGAAGGGGGGTCATGTTGTACTGCCCTTAGCTGGCATCCCAGTTTTCCAGGACATGGTGATGGAGGAGATGCCCCATGCCCGAGGCTCCCCGGCGCAGTTTGAACTCAGCGGGCGCATCCGGCAGGTGGCTGCAGCCCGGGTGGATGGGGAAGGTGAGCGAGCCCTGGGACAGGCAGGACTTGGGGCGAAGGGGTGGCAGGGAGCCCCTGGGATGCTATCAGCTCATGTGCCACCTCCTTCTGCCTGACAGATTTCATTGGGGTCCGCTCAGACTATCACTGCGGAGTTTGGAGGGTGCCAGGCAGGACAGGGACAGCTCCCACCCCACTGCAGGTCATCCGTACTGATGTGCCTGCCTCCTGCCTCACTGTCAGGTATGTGCTGCAGGACAGAGCTTTGCTGCCCTGCTCCCTTTGGGGGTGATGCCGTGCCAGGTTTTTAATGAGCGTCCAAAGGAGGGCAGTGAAGATGGTGAAGGGCCTTGAGGGTATGCCACATGAGGAGCTGTGGGGCTGCGGGCACTTGGTTCTGTTCAACCTGGAGAAGAGGAACCTGAGGAGAGACCTCATTGCAGTTAGAACTTCCTCATGAGGAGAAGAAGAGGGGCAGGCACTTATCTCTCTTCTGTGGTGACCAGTGACAGAACCCAAGGGAATGGCCTGAAGTTGTGTCAGGGCAGGTTTAGTTTTCATATTAGAGGAAGGTTCTTCTCCCAGAGGGTGGTTGGGCACTGAAACAGGCTCCTCAGGGAAGAGGTCACATCACCAAGCCTGACAGAGTTCAAGAAGCGTTTGGATGATACTCTCAGGCACATGGTGTAACCCTTGGGGATGGTCCTGTGCAGGGCCAGGAGTTGGATTTTGATGATCCTTGTGGGCTCCTTCCAACTCAGCATATTCTGTGATTCTGTGATCCTGCAGCCCTCACCTTCCCGGGGAGCTGGCAGTCTGCACTCAGAGTGGGACCGTCTACCTCTGGAGCGTCGAGACAGGGTGAGATGAGGCACTCAGGGCTGGCTGGGAGCTCATGCAGACAACAGAGTCTCAAGGGGGCAGGGAGCCCAAGTGAGAGGGGCAGCCCTTCCCTTTGCTGACGCTGCCATCTCCCCGCAGGCTGCTGCAGCTCCGCCATGACCCCCAGACCATGTTTTTTCGGGACCATTCACCCTGGCGCTGGAGCGACTTCACTGCCCACCCAAGGGTGCTGAGCTGTGCTGACCGCACCGGCCTGCAGTGCCTGGATGCCCGGGTGAGGCTGGGAGGGTGGGCCTGAGAGGGTGGGCACGGGGCTGGGAGCAGGCAGGGGAGAGAGTTCCCCAGCCCAAAATGCTGACTGCACCCTGCTGTGCTGCTGCAGGCCCCCAAGAAATGCCACTTCGACTTGTTCAAGGTGGGTGAGGAAGCTGGCTGCCAGCAGGGCGAGCGCGTCGTGCTGCCCATGTACCTGGGCAGGGCTCACCCCTCACAGTACCTTGTCACCACCCAGGTGAGTTCCACCAGAGCTGGCAGCTGGGAGAGACACCCAGCACAGCTGGCTCTCTGAATGCCTGTGGGGCAGGGGGGTTGCTGTTGGGGTGTGCCCCTGCTCAGCTGTGCCCTCTGCCCCAGTTCTCCGTGTACGTGCTGGACGAGCGGTTGCCACTGGTGCCTGTGCTCAAGTGGGCACACATGATGAAGGCCCCCCCACTCTTTGCCCACCTGATGCCAGGAGATCCTGGGAGGACCCATAAGGTGCTGCTCGGCGCATCCCGCACCCAGGAACTGTTGCTGCTGCAATACCGGGGTGAGAGATTGAGCTCCAGGGGTGCTGCAGGGCTGAGCTCCTCTGTGCCTGTGTCCCAGCCTCCTCACTGCTGGGACCAGCTACTTCCCTGGCATCAGTGCTCACTGCCCGGTTTTTGGGATGTGTTTCCTCAGGGGGAAGCCAGTCAGCCTGCCAGCTGGCGGGGGCTCCACAGAAGCTGCACAGCATCGCTGGGTGCCTGCAGCACCTGCCCACCCAGCTCCCACACCGCCACCACCTGCTCCAGCAGCGCCTCGGAGCCCCGGCTGCAGGTGGGTGTCCCACACTGCCCTGGGGTGTAGGTCTTCGCAGGGGAGAAGGTGGAATGGAGGGTGCAGTGTAGCCCTTATCATGGCCTGGCTGGAGGGTGGCTGACAAAGTGAAAGCAAAGCCCCAAACAATCCTGTGCAAGAGATTAATGACCTAGAAAATGATGTGTGGGTCAGGATCTGGCAGTGAGTGCCCACTGAGGAGTGGAGGCAACCCCAGCTGCTGGCCAGGCCCCTGCAGGAACCGCAGGACTGGAACACTGGTGAAAATGTCTCTTCTGCCTCTGCAGGGCTGGCCGCCATGCTGCAAGAGAATGGGACTTGTGAGACCTTGCTGGTTTTCCAGCTCTCCGAGGCTGGGGATGTCTTCTGCCAGAGGCTGACCCACGAGGCAGTGCGTCCCCCTGCACCCACCTTGAGGGATGAGGCCACAACAGCCCCTGGCTCTTCCCCTCTCTTCGAGGCTCCAGCGAGCAGCCCACTGGGCTTGGGCAGTGAGGAGGAAGAGGAGGAAGAGCAAATGTTCTACTTGTCCAACCTGGAGCTGATTATCAACGAGGAGGAGGAGGAGAACACCGGCACACCAGCACCCCCAGAGGAAGCTGAACTGCCCCAGGAGCCCTGTGCCAGCCCCCAGCCCAGCCCAGCGGTGCCCAGCCCAGCTGCAGCCGTGCGGTACCACCGCTGGTTGAGGGCTCTTTTCAGAGGCTGCAGGGAGCCCCCCCAGCACTCCTTGCCCCCCAGCCTCAGCCAGAGGCGCCTCTTCACCCTCAAAGAGCTGGAGGGGCCAACAGGTCCCACTGCCCTGCAGAGGCAAGTACGGCAGTGGCTGCGCCAGGTCATGCGGGAAGGGGGCCACATCCAGCGCTGGGAGCCCATGGCCCTCCAGGCCCCTGCCTTGCCACAGCCCCTGGAGCCAGAGGAGGGTCCGGACCTCTTGAGCACCCGTCTGACAGCAGCCTGGTCCGGGGACTGGGAGCAGTGGTGGGAGGACAGGACTAGCTTCAGTGTGGCACAGAGACAGCGGGCTCTGCGGGAGCGGCGGCGGCGGCAGAAACGAGCACGGAGCCGGCGCAGTCTCTCGGCCAGTTTTACCTCCTCCCTCACCTACCAGTCGGAGCTGTCCGAGCTCAGCGATGCAGGACCCCTGTTGCTTTCCCCCAGCCGCCCACACGTTCTCTCCCAGGAGAGCTCCCCCCCAGCCAGCAGCCCCCTACGCGGCAGCCCCCCGGCCTCGCCGGCACCCGACGAAGCGCTGCTGTCCTCGCAGAGCCTGCGCTGCCGCGGCATCCCCAAGGAGCGGCGGAAGACGCTGCGGGACTACCTGTCGGTGTGGGCCGAGGGGCCCCCTGAGCCCCCAGAGCTCCCTGGCAGCCAGGCCAGCCAGCTCTGCATCCCCTCCTCCCAGAGCCAGCTCTCTTCTGCCTCGCAGACCCGCCGCAAGCGCCCACGCATGGGCTTCTGAACACCAATAAACCCGCCTGGCACAGCCTCCCACCCGGGCTCCTTAACTGCGTGGTCACAACACCCACCCGTAGAGGGAGGGGAGGTCGGGCGGCATCCCAGCGGTCGGGACTCCCCCAGGGAGGAAGTGGCCCTGTCCACCTTCAAAGGGTCCCCGCTGGGACTCTGCAGCGCGGGGGTCGCCTTCGTGTCACGCGTGGGCGCGGGCGGGTGCGGGCGCTTTAAGGGGCGTGGGGCGGGACCGGGATGTGAGTGACGGGAGGGGCGGGAGCGGCGGCCATGGCGGCGGTGCTGGCGCGGGGCCTGGTGCGGGGCGCGCTGCGAGTGGGGCAGGTGGGCGCGGTGGTGGAGGGACACAGCGGGGTGGGAGAAACAGCGGGGTGGGCTGGGAGGACAGGGGCACCGGGGCCGGGCCCCCGCCCAGCGCTACGCTCGCCGCTGCTCCCACCCTCGGGCAAGGTCCGCGGCGGGCGTGAGCGCCGACCCGCGCACCCCCACGGCAGGGAACGGGGCCTCGGGTCACCCGTGCGCACCCACCCCCGCCCCGGCCTGCACCCCCGTGGGCAGAGCCCCCCCGTCACTCCCGTGGACACAGCCCCCCATTATCCCCATGTGCGTTACGCCCGTGTGCACCTCGCTGTCAACCCCTGTGCGTCCCCCGGTCGTACCCGGGCAGCGCAGCCCTCAGGATCCCTATACGTATCCCATCGGTCCCCACGTGCACCCCCACCACACCCCCCATCACACCCTCCATAACCCCCCATGCATTAGTCCAGTCACCCCCCTGTGCATTCCCCCATCACGCGCCCCACCACCCCCACGTGCATCGCCCCCATATCCCAGCGTGCAGCTGCACATGTATATCCCCCCCATGTGTCCCCCATCACCCCATGTGCGTCCCTCCTTCCATCACTCTCGCATGCATGTCCCCTCCCTGTGCTCCTGCCCGCCCTGGCCGCGGTGTCCCCGTTCCCGCTCGGGGGCAGGCCCTAAGCTCTGTGTGCCCTCCCGGCCCAGCGGTGCGTGTCGGCGCCCAGCGGGAGGGATGGGGAGGTGAGCAAGGCACAGCGGGCAGCGGCGGCCGGCGAGGAGGCGGGCGGGCAGCCCACCATCTTCAGCAAGATCATCGACCGCACCATCCCTGCCACCATCCTCTATGAAGATGACAAGGTAGTGGGGACAAGGTAGCAGGGCATGTGTCCCCACCGGGGGAAGGGGCAGCACCCACGGGTGTTGGGCTCACCCTGCGCCCCCTGGCAGTGCCTGGTCTTCCGTGATGTGGCCCCCCAAGCCCCTGTCCACTTCCTGGTGATCCCCAAGCACCCCATCCCCCGGATCAGCCGTGTGGGTCCCCAAGACACCGAGGTGAGTCTAGGGGAGTCCCTGGGACATTGGCAGTAGGAGTCACTGAGTGCTGACCCTCCTGCTCTCCTCTCCTGCAGCTCCTGGGGCACTTGCTCGTGGTGGCAGCACGCACGGCACAGGCAGAGGGGCTGGCTGACGGCTACCGCCTCGGTGAGTTGGTGTCCCCTGCCGTGCCATGGGGCAGGACCCTCCCTGGTGGTCCTGGGGGCCTGGGCACACAAGGGGGTGGCCTGACCCCTGTCCCTCTCCTGACAGTGATCAATGACGGGAAGCACGGTGCCCAGTCCGTCTACCACCTGCACCTCCATGTCCTGGGGGGGCGGCAGATGGGCTGGCCCCCTGGCTGACCCCCCACTGCCCACCACCCCCCAATAAAGCATCTCCTTGGTGGTGGCTTCAGTGGCTCCGTGTCCAGGTGGCTTTCTTAGGCGTGGGGGTTTCTTAGGGGTGGGGGTGCCTGGCCTGGGCAGAGCTGGCCTCTGGTGTCGCAGCAGTGGGGAGTTGCTACCCTGTTTTTTGCAGAGGGTCTGGGCTCCCCACATGCCAACCTGCCCATGCCGGAGATGCTCTGGAGCCCTATGGTTGAAGCAAAAGGAATTTGGGGGAGTGCCCACATGCGACTGGGAAAAGGCTCATCCTGGTGCTGAGCTGGGGGGAGCAAGCTGTGTGCCACAAGGGTGTCCCCAAACTGGGGAACATCCCAGGATTGTCAGCAGCACACCATGCTCAGTGCTACCTGCCCAGACCACTGCCACCACACGGTGCCTGCACCCCTGAATGCCCTCGCCCTGCCTCAGTGTGCCCCCCAAGCACCACTGTGTTCCTGCCAGAGCTCCACACTGGGCACTGATGTTTCTCTGCTCTGCAAAAGCAGCTAATTGCATTTAATTGATCTAAAAGCGATGACTGCACATGTACTCACTCCTCCTTACCCTAGAGGGACCTCACTGTGAGCTCCCAGGGGGTTCATAGCCCTGAGCAGAGTGCAGGGCAGAATAGGCTGAGTGGTGGGTGGGCCTGCTGCCCCCTCCACGTACACATAGCCCTGTACCCCCCCTGCACCGCCTGTGTGTGTGCACTGCAGTGGAAAACTCACTGCACTGCACACCCCAGGCTCCCCTACACACAGAACACCGCCAGCACTGTACATGCACACGTGTTTACACCCCTTGGCCGCAGTCTGGTGCCTGCACGTGTCCACATCCACCCGGCGAGGGGAGCGCACGCGGGGGCTCCGCGCATGCGGCCGCCCGCTCCCTGCCGCGTGCCTCCCGCTGCTCCGTGGCCGGGCGCCGGGGCTATATTTAGTGGCGGGGGCCGGTGCTGGCATGGTGCATGGCCCACCTGGCACCACCGCCAGGGCTGGCTGGGCCCCCGCCAGCCGCCACGCAGGGGACCGCAGCCCGCCAGGGAGAATGGTGGCTCTGTTCATCCCCCGGCTTGGTGGCGCTGGCGGCAGGGGCCCCTCGGGAGCTGCGTGGGGCTGCAGCAGAGCCTAGTTCACTTCCCACACATACACACCCAGAATAGCATGGGGAATGTTTTTGGGGTGTAAATGAGCCTTAAAAATGTCGATGGGTAGCGCTTCCTGCCTCCGAGGCTCAGCACAGGATGGGGTCACACTCTTGGACGAAGGACAACTCTGCCTCAGGGATGGGTACCCCAAATTGGGGCTGGGTATCACTGGAGAGGTGGGGATTCCGAAGAGGGGCCAGGGATCCGCCGTACATTATTCCCCAGGGCTCACCTGGATCAGCCCTCCAGGGAATGCTGTGCTGGGCTGAGGGCGTGTGCTGGCACGCGAGGTCAGGGGCTGGACGCCTGCCATCGTGTTTCTTCCTGTGCCAGGTTTATTTTGTCAGTCCCCGAGCAGCTGCGGGGCAGGACAGTGGTCACAGCCCCATGGGGCTGAGGGGGGGAGGGCAGAGGGGATGAGGGCCAACGGCTGTTTTGGTTCTTTAGCTGAGGAGGATCACAAATGACGCAAGTTCCCAAAAGAGCTGGGCAGGGGGGCTGCGGGGGATGTGTCAGCCGGCAAGAGGCAGCCAGATGTGCTCCAGCAGCTCCAGGGCTGCTGCCCCACGGTGATGGTGTCAGGTCACAGCCCCACAGAGATGCCCCATTGGCCACCCCGGGATTTGGTCTGCCCCACAGTGAGTGCACCCCCCCAGGCTGGCATCGCTAGGGTTCCTGTCCTGCACTGTACTGTGGTGCTGTTAGTGTCTCTTCAGTGTCCCTCAGGCACCCCCCTGCCTGGCCAGGCTTTTGGCAAGCCCACATGTGTCTGGTGGGGAACCTGGGGATGCTCCTGGGAAGAGCACCCAGGGTGCAAGCTGGGACAGGGAGCCCAAGCTGCCATTCCTTCAGTATGAGCTGAAGTACGGGTGCAGCAGGGGCCAGTGCTGGGCCTGCAGCTGAGTGTGGGGGCAGAACCAGCAGTATTCACCCCAGAACCCTCACAGCGACGCCCCAGCCCTCGGGGACAGCCTGGCACTCCTCTTCAGCGGCAGCAGGGCTGATGTTGCCCCAGCATGGGGGAGGCACGAGATGAGTTCGGGCCATGCCTCCTGCCTCTCCTGCTCGCTGCAGCTGCACAGCAGATGGGCTCGGAGGAGCCCCTGCCTGGCGTGGGGCCGAGCGCCCGCAGGGAGGAGCCGGTCCCCGGTGGGGGGCCCCCCCAGGGCCGGCCGAGGCCAGAGGGGCCAGGCACATTCCCAGCCAGGAAAAACAGAGGCCCCAGCGCAGAGCCCGCGGTGCCCCGCCGGCGCACACCGCAGAGCGCTGCAATAACAGCCCTCGCCGCCCGCTATCAAAGGGCCCTTCTTCTGCTCGGTCCCCGCAGGGATGGGGCCGGGGGCCCAGCGAGGGCTCGCGGCGAGGGGAGGCAGCTGCTCCACGCCGGCTGCACCCAGCCAGGCGCCGGGCACGTCCGGCCCCGTCACCCTGGGCCAGTTGGGGGTCCCTGGGGCGGGCGGGCGTGTGTGGAGGCTGGGGGTCGCTTGGGTCAAGCCGTGGGCAGCAGCGTGTCCCCAGGAGCCCTGGGCACGTCTCTCCTGCCGCCATAGTGTGGCTGAGCTAGTCCTGCCCTGGCATAGCGCTCCCCTGTCCGGGGCACCGGGACAGGCAGGGACGGGGGAGGACATGGATTCCAGGGATGGGGACAGACTGAGCCTCGCAGTGCGACCACGGTCGTGCTCCTGCGCCCCCTACTCCCCTGCACCCCTGTGCCTCACACGCTCCCCGCCCCCCCAGCACCCCCTTATCTCTGCATCCTTGCACCCCGGTGCCCCCGCACCCCCGTCCACCTGCACCGCCGCATGGCATCTCCCCTCATTCCTAACCCCCCTGAGCCCCCGTGACCCCACACCGCCGGCTCCCATCACCCCTGCATCCCCGACCCCTGCACTCCCATCCTCCCGCACCCTCATCCCTCCTCACCCCCATCTCCCTGCACCATCTCCCCCCACCCCCTTGCCCTCCCCCCTCCCCCTCCTCCGCACCCCACTCCTGACCACGCCCACTCCCCCATGACCACGCCCCCTCTCCAATCCGACCCCGCCTCTTGGCCCCACCCATAGCGGCCTCTGGCCGCGCCCCCTCCGTGCTCTCCGCCAATGGGAGGCGCGCACGCGGCCGCCGCGCGCCGTCTCCATGGTGAGACGCGCATT